GGCTGAAGATTCAGCTGGGAAAAGAAACCTGTGAAAGGAAGGGCAAGTCAGGTCCAGAACACAAAGAAAGGCGCGGTGCTACTGCTACAGCAGCTGAATAATCTGTCCTCCTTCCATCGTATGAAAGTGGTGAAAAAGCCTAAAGCCATATTAAAGAAGAGATGCCGGTGGCATGAATACTTCAAATTTAGGGAACCATTTTTTAAAATAAAGCCATGTGTGGGCCTTCATGGGACAATGCTAAACTCGCTCCCTTAAATCCAGAAGTACGCCGTGCTCGTAAATGAGAGCAACAAAGGTGTGGCAAACCCTGCGCCGGCGAGGTAACCGCAGCAGCACGAAGCGAAGCTGGGGGTGGCTGTGTGCAAACATCTCAAGACAGCAGGGTCCGCTGAAGTGCCATTCGCGTGTTTTTAACACTCGGCACAGTCTCAAGGGCCCGGGGACGGAGAAGTTTAATAAACATACGGATAGGTTTTAACATGAAAAGCGTGGGGGAAGAGAATGGTACAGTCCTCCCAAAGCTGTTACCTTCATCGACACACCGTGCAAAGGGCGGGTGGAGGAAAGGAGCGCCCACGGGTGGGGAGGATCCCGGCCTCATTTCCAACCCTCACAGGCTCCGTCCCCGGACACCTCGCCCTTCCAGCCCCTGCGGCGGGTGCGCGTCGCTCCCCGGTGCCCGACCGCCCCGCTCGGCAGCCTAACCCCACACGCACGCCCGGCCCCGCCGCTTCCCTCCACCGTCCAGGCCTCCGCAGCCCCCGCCCGTCTGCTCTCCTCACGCTCCTCCCCAGCCCACAGCCTCCCAGCCTCCCCGCCCCTCACTCTTCCCACCTGGACCCACAGCCGACCGCTCACACCCCCGCCGTCAGCCCTCAGCCCCTCTCCTCTCCGTCCCGTCCACAAGGATCCCGCGTCCCGATTCAGCCCGCCAACGGCTGTGCGCCTGCACCTTGATCTCCTCCACCCGCCGGGTGAGGTGGCTGATCCGAGTGCCCAGATCTTCCTTCTCCAGACTCCCCGAGTGGGCCAGAACTTCCGTCACGAAGGAAGCCATCGCCGCTACACGAACCAACACTCACAAAGTCACTCTCCCGGAGCCAGCGCGGCAGTTCCAGTCCCGCCAGCGCCCGGGTGCGCGGCTGTTCCAGTCCCGCCAGCAGCCTTGGTGCGCGGCCTGCCGGGAAACGAAGTCTTGCAGGGCCCGGACCGCCCCTCGGAAGGCGTCAGCTGCACTACAACTCCCAGAAAGCACCGCGACTCACCTGGCATGGAATTTCGACGGCGTCTCGTAGTTGGCAAACTTGGGAGACGCGTTTTCTTTAGTACAGTAGTTGTTTTCAAAGCTTTCCTCCTCCCGACCGTCTTTCACGAAGAAATGAGCCGTTTTTACTTACTAACCAGTCCTAACTCAACCTTTCTCAATTTCGAAACGCTTACCTATGAAATTTAGCTAGCCAGAAGACCCGACGGGCCCATCTTGAGTTTTTTCGTTAAATAGTCACTGTCAGGGGCCGCATTGACCATCAGTCTGAATGAATGGCGCCCTCTAGAGTTGTACAAAGAAGCGGCTTCACCTCGTTATAAATAAAAGTCTGCCTATAATTGCATAGTTTTATATTGCGTAGTTGATATCACATCTACGTACACATATACATGTATACTACATCTGTGTACACATGCGTATATTACATCTATGTAACACATTACCGGTTTATAGTATTTACATTATCTGTGGATAAATAACATTAGCACTGTGTGGACTAGAACAAGCTACTCAGCACTTTTTATCAGAGAATGCAAATCAATTTTATAAAAAGCTTTAAAAATTTGTTTCATTATTTAAATATGTTACGAACTGAAAAATGTCCCACAATATATGTAAGGTATTATTCCTTTTTACAAAAATAAATAGATATAGATACATAATAAGGTAAAGGATGTGTACCAAATTATTCTGTCTGAGTGGTGGACTTATGATATTTATTCTTTTCCCCTGTTTTTCTATTTTTCTGCAAAAAAAAAAAAAAGTAGTGCTTTAATTAAAATGTTACCTTTAATTTTTTTAAAAATTGACTTTGAGGGTTGACCCCGAGCAGATGCTGACCCTAGGGTCCTTGTCAATTTTAAGTGTCTGTGGGAGGATCTGCTTAACCTAGTGAGCAAGGGTGGCTTCCTGTGACAAGGGTAAAGGAAATGAAACTAGTGATGAGATGGGAAGCACAAAGGGCAGCCATAGCATCCTAGGAAGTTCCTCTCCAGAAAACCAAATCAAATTCTGTTTGGTAGACATGTCGGTCTCACTCTGAATTCTAAATACTGTTAATAATAAATGCACAGTGAGAAAGACAAAGTTGCTGAAAACTTGTATTATATATTGACTGAGCAACTACTATACAGCAGACACTGTGCTAGATTGGGAATAAAAATAAATAAATAAATAATCCCGGAAAAATGTTATCATTACTATTTTGGAGGTAGATGAGAGATGGATCCATATTTCGTGAGGCCTAAATCTTATATAGTTGGTGGGAGGGGAAGGACTCTTTATGGAAAAGAATATAAAATAAATACAAAATTAGGTGCAGGCCTTGGAAAGGGCCTGTGCAACGAACAGGTCCTGAAGCTTAATCCACCTCTGAGAAAGGTACAAAGGACAGAGGAGGAGGCGCACCCAGTCTCTGATTCAATCAGGGAGGTTTCACAGGAGGAAGGAATCTGACCCAAGACTGGAAGGAGGTGTCACTTTGAGGTGGAGGTTCTGGGATCTTCCTCTAGGAAACAGATCCATGGGTACCCACAATCACAACTACAGAAGCTCCTCCTCTCCCTGGGCAGAGCGACCACTGGATAAACTAAGGACTGTTCCTCAGGGTTCCAGGAAAGGGCAGAGAAGACCTAGAGTTCGACTAAGAAAGGAGAAGGGTTGGAATGGAGTAGGATTGCTACATGTAGGCAGTCAGTGCATGCAGGTATGAATGAATACATGAATAAATAAATAATTATAAATGAATAGGTTCCATTTTCCCTCACTAACTGGATCTCCTTCATAGTTCCTATTTATCATGGTTTATATGTCGCCCAACTCACAGATTTTCACAAATCAAGAAAGGGCTCTGAAGAATAGGCAAGGAAATAAGGAGCAATGTCTGAGAGCATTCCTCCTGACTTATCATGGCTCACACACATGTGGCATGCCCGTTTTCAAAAAGAAAGTATCAAATACAAATCTGTATGGATGTATAGGACAAGCAGACAGCATTTCCAGGGATCTATATTTTGCCATCCTGTTGATTAGAACATGTGGCTGTTATAAGAGCAGCAGCAGGAGTCTACAATTTGAAAGAACGTCCCATTTACTTCAAAATAGTATGAAGGGGGGGGGGTGCAGGTATGGATGAAGCAAGATCGATACGATTGGATAATTTTTGAAGTAGGTGATAGGACATGAGATTTCTTCATTCCATTTGCTCTACTTTTGTATATGTTTGAAATTTTCCTATAATAAAAATGAAACATAAAAGAAAAAAGCATTCCAGATGATTTTGTTTGCCTCCCTCCACCCCCACGCCACTGATAATCTTATCAGAGTGCTTAGGTGTTGAGACATGAGGCAAATAAATCTGAATACTGCTTCCTCCTGGCTGGCTTTCCCACGTCTCTGCTTTCATGTCCTCATATGCCCCAGGGTAATCAGCAGGTTCAATATGAATAGGGAAGACATCGGTCAACATTTATGTCCTTAATAAAATTAATCCAAATATTCTTCTGTGTTTTGCCATGTCACCAGCATGCAGTGCAGTGCAGGAGGAATCCTGTTGCAGCCTGGAGACAAAAGTATGAAATGTCACAGCCCCAGCCACCCGGCTCAGGAGTGAAGCCTGTTGCTTACCTGCTGGGGAACCTTGGCAAGTTATCTAACATCTTACCATGTGGTGTGAAAATTAAATAAGGTTAAAATATCTATTAAAGTCTGGCATCTAGCCACACTCAGCAAGTGCAAATTATTTCTTTTGCTGTCAGAACCTGCCTCCTGGCAGCAGCAACAAGTAGGGATGGAAACCTGTATGACCATCATCATTTATAGGTGCCGTCCTAGCAGCAGCAGAAGACTGGGCAGTGAGCACTCCCTTCTGGTACATTCTGGGTCTGGATGGGTTCCTTGGATTGGGAATTTTTCTTTTTTTTTTGCTTATAAAAATATTAAATGATAAATTTATAAAATACATAGACAAGCACAAATAAGGAAATAAAAACTATCCATAAATCTTGAGTAAAATAACCATGGTAACATTTTGTGGTATATGATATATAGAAATATAAATACAGATATACACATATGTATATAGATATACTTTTTATGAAAGTGAAATTGTATTCTATATACTGTTTGGTCACCTGCTTTAATCAGTTAACAACATATAAAAAACATTTTTCATGTCATTCAAATTTCTTCTATATCACTTTAAACTTGCTCCCTAGAATTAAAGAAAATGTACAATTATTAACAATATTTCAGTGGACATTTTCATAAATGGACATTTACAGTATATTGGGGTAAGTTCTTGGAGGTAGGGTGCTGGGTGAAAGTACACATGTATTTGAAAGTATGAACCATGAAGTTACGTTGCCCTGCTTAGAGATTACAACAGTGTTCATTCCCAGACCTTCATTCCTATCACCTCAGAACTGGGGAGTAGCCTAAGCTTAAGTTCATGAATCTTCTCATCAAATGTGTGTTGATGGCTCACTGTCTGGCTTTTTTGCCTCGCATGGGATCTTCCCCAAGAATCCACACCCACATCGGATTTGGGCACCCCCCAAACGCAAACATTGCTGAGCTCCTGGCACCTGCCTCCTCTGCTGCCCAGAAAACTGAAACAGGAGCCCTCTCCAAATATGAGAGACCTTCCACTCAGCCCTCCCCAGAGCACTCCGCCCTAGCCAGTCACTGAGACACCTGGCATCTTTACTTTCTCCTCCATGGTGGGGCAGCCATGGCCTGGAGTTTCTGTGGGAAAGCCCAGCTCGGGGGACTGCTCCTCTCTCTCCTCGGCTGGGTCTGTTCATGTGTGACCACCGCCCTGCCCCAGTGGAAGACCATCAATCTGGATCTGAACGAAATGGAAACATGGATCCTGGGACTTTGGGAGGTCTGAGTGAACCAGGAGGAAGTTGCCACTGTGTGCCGGGCCTTGGAGTCCTTCTTATCTCTGTCCCAGGGGCTCCAGATATCCCACGCCCTGGGCTGGGATTATTGGGGCTTCTGCTCTCTGGCTTTGAGTCCGAATGCTGCCAGTTTCACAGGATCCAAAGGGTATTTCAGAGGTTGCTTTGCATTCTAGGAGGGACTCGAAGTATCAGCTTCAGCCACGACCATCTTTCCAGTCTCCTGGGTGGCCTATGCCACAATCCAAGACTTCTGGGATGACCGCATCCCTGGGCTTGTGCCTCGGTGGGCGTTTGGAGATGCCCTCTACTTGGGCTGGGCTGCTGGTATTTTCTTGGCCCTTGGTGGATTTCTCCTCATCTGCTCAGCCTGCCTGGGAAAAGATGTGCCCTCCTCCCAGGTGGCTGGTCCTACAGCCCACTATACCTCGGCCCAGCAGAAGAGTTTGACGGCTCCTTCCTTCTAATCCCAAGATCTAGGAACCTGTTCATTAGGACCAGCTTCTGCCAAGGAATCTCTGGAATAAAGGAATATCAGTCGATTCCTTTCTCTTCCTTACCCTTCATCGCTCTGTATTTGTTTGCCCCATTTGGGGGTGGGGGAGGGAGTTGTCACTGCCCTAATTGTTAAGGGTTTGACTCTTCGTAGTATGGTGATCCGAATTTCAGAATGAAAAACCGAGGCACAGTTTCTAAAAAACATGTTTGACTCTTTATTACTAAGAAAAACCTATTATAAAATTGCATCCCTCACAGAAAAATCTAGTGCGAATAATCACTGTCCCCACAGCTAGGAAAGCTGAAGACTATGCTGTGGCCAATGAAAATGAATTGAGGGCCGAGACCAGCGCCTAGGACAGGAACTCTCCTGGTGCCCACTTTCAGGGCGAGGTGAAGTTTACTAGGGACTGTCATACTGTATCTTTGTTGTTGTGCAGATTCTTAGTAGCCCAAAGACGTACTCCTGTTTCTTCTGTGTTATGAGACTATGAGTGGTTTGCTCTGTCTCCCCGGCATGAAAGTAAGAGAAAGAGCGAGTGAGTGTGGTAGAGCGATCAGCCATCCTGGTTTGCCCAGAACTGGTCACGTTTAGTGTGAAAACTGGGAAAGTCCCGGCAAACTGGGACCAACTGGTTACCCCAGAATAGCTATGCCCAAGAACCGCCCTGAGAAATGTCTTTTTACCGTATCGAAATCATGTTATGAATCCCTTAACTTTTAACCCAATGTGAGCAGACCTAACCAGGCTGTGGCTACAAATTAAGTTCCTTTCACAACAATGACCCAACTCCCTTTGCTTGTCCCACCTGCACTGTCAGCCCCAGGTTTTTCTCAAGGAGGAGCATCATGCTTGCTCATAAACCTGCCAGCAGACACCACCTGGCACTGTACACCCTGTTCCTCTCATTGCTGTGTGTCCCCACTCCTTAATTCATGAAGAAGAGCCACCATCGACCCTGTCAACAATCCCACAACTAAAGAGGGGGGAAAATAAGGGTGATGGCTCCCAATGTCCCCAAATAAGTGACTTCTCCCAGTTTGGACTCCTGCTGGATTGCTTGCAGAACTGAGACTCTGCCCTGGCCCGTTTGCCTCTGGTTAGAGTATCAGCCTGCAGACCGAAAGGTTGCAACCTTTCCTAGTCAAAGGCACATACCTCGGCTGCAGGTTCAATCCCCACCCCTGGTCGGGGCAGGTGCAAGAGGCAACCAATCGATGTGTCTCTCTCAGGTCCACGTTTCTCTCTCTGCGTCCCCATCTCCTCCCTCCCTTTCACTCTCTCTAAAAAAATCAATAGAAAAAAATATCCTCAGTGAGGATTAAAAAAAAGAAAAAAAGAACTGAGATTCCTCCCTTCCTTGGGTGCTGCCCCTTGCCTGCTCAGCTCTGAGTCCTCCACTGCTTGTGCTCAGACGGCTCTGGCTTCTCCATAAAATAGCTCTGACATAGCCCTGGCATCTTGAGACAGCTGCTGCTCAAGCAAGAACACACACACACACACACACACACACACACACACACACACACAAATGCACAAGTTTGCCGGGGTAGCCCAGGTCAATTCCCTCCTTAGAAAATTAACTTTTTTCCCCCTGAGAAAACAAGTCTGCCTAGAGGCACTTCATCTTCTTGCCCAGCGTAGGGTTCTCGAGGAGTCAGTTTCTCCTGAAAGCTCCTTTCCCTTTCAAGTATGTCCTTTTGTGTGTGTCCAATGCCATACACAAATCCAAATGACTCTGAGGTAAATAAATTCTGCATATAAAAGAGCAATTTGTAGCAGAGCTCTGTTCTGGTCTTCTCTGGTTCCAATGCTCATTTTATCATCTATTCCTTCTCAATAAAGTGTCAACACTCTCTGGGCCAAGTTTCAATCAGGGGTGGGGCTCAAATGCCCAAGTTCTCCTTGGACATCAGGATCTACAAGAAGGACCAGTTCATTATTCATCCATGCGATCATTTAGTCACACATTTAACCAATATTTATTGAGCCCTGGCCGGTGTGCGCAGTTGTTAGAGTGTCGGCCCATGTGACAAAGAATCTTGGGTTTGATTCCCGGTCGAGGGCACTTACCTGGGTTTCTGACTCAATCCCTGGCCCTGGTCCAGGTGCGTGCGGGAGGCAACCAATCGATGTGTCTCTCTCATATCGATAGTTCTCTCTCTCTCTCAATATATATATTGTTGTTGTTAATCCTCACCTGAGGATATTTTTTCCATTGATTTTCAGGGAGAGTGCGGGGGTGGGGGGGAGAGAGCGAGAGAGAGAGAGAGCACCTAATACATGCCAGGCATTGTGCTAGAAATCAGGAATAAATGGTAGGACAAATTTATCCTTGCCCCTCTGATAAGCAAATAGGGGAGAGAGATATTAATGTGAAATCACTTAAATAAATGGAAATTGTAGCTGTGACAAACTTCCCAAATATGAAATGGAACATAGTCCTATAAGATCATGCAATAGGAGAAACTTAACCTCATCAGGGTGTCATAACTGGGTACCCTAAGGAAGTGATACTTGGCTAAAAGCTAAGGGATGGATGGATAGCAGTTTTAGATAGAGGAAAAAAATGGATACTACGAAGCTGATGAGTTAGGGAGGAGCCAGGCCTCGCAGGGCCTGCCGGGCAGGTGGAGGCGGCTGTCTCTGTTGTGGGAACCACGGGAAGCCAAGCATGTGGCCAGGGTTGGAGCTCAGCCCCTGGTGACCGCAGCAGCAGCCTGCTGCCCTTCTCCAGCTCCTTGCTCCTGCGCAGTTGCCCTGCCACACAGTTGGGCAGGGTTTAAGAGTTCACAAAGGAGTTGCACGTATTTTATTTACATTGATTCATGTAATGTATCTTGAGGTTTTTTTTTGTTGTGTCTTGTTTGTTTTTGAGGTTAGGAGAACAGATTGATTTTTCTAATGAGGAAATTGATATTTCGAGAATTTAGGCAACATGCCCCTGGCAAGTAATTATCGGGTCAGGACTTGACCCAGGGTTTTGATGTCACAGAAATCTTTCGTCTCCCCATCTTGTTACTTCATGGGGTGGGTTGTCAAGATAACCCATTAGACCAAGAGAAAAACTAGCACCCACCAGGAGGAAAAACCAAAGGCCTACAAAGAAAACCCTTGTCCTTTGTGCTTCTGTTGAACTTTAAGCAGGGTCTTTGTTGCCAGGTGGCTCAGCTGTGCCTGCTGGTGGCTCGCAGCCCTCGTCCTAACCTCACCTTTGCAGGAGCTGATATTTTTCATCAGCATGTGACTATGCCTTCCTCTAAAACAAAAAAAGAGAAAGGAACACAAAGTAAAGATTTCAGAAAATAGTCTGTCTACCTAAATGGTGGTGGGGCAGGGACTGTTGATTGATTCCTAAGTGGCGAGCAGTCCGTCCTTCCCCAGAAAGGAAGGTCATTTGCATTCTGGCCAGAATCCATATTTATTTATTTATTTATTTATTTACCTATTTACTTATTTATTTACTTATTGTTAATCCTCATCAGAGGATGTTTCTTCCATTGATTGTTAGAGAGTGGAAGAGAGGGAGGGGAAGAGAGAGAGAGACGATGTGAGAGACACACTGATTGGTTGCCTCCCTTTTGCATCCCAACCTGGACCGGGGATTGAACCTGCAAGCCAGGTACATGCCCTTGACCAGGAANCATTTATTTATTTATTTATTTATTTATTTATTTATTTATTTACCTATTTACTTACTTATTTACTTATTGTTAATCCTCATCAGAGGATGTTTCTTCCATTGATTGTTAGAGAGTGGAAGAGAGGGAGGGGAAGAGAGAGAGAGACGATGTGAGAGACACACTGATTGGTTGCCTCCCTTTTGCATCCCAACCTGGACCGGGGATTGAACCTGCAAGCCAGGTACATGCCCTTGACCAGGAACTGAACCTCTGACTCTTCAGTGCTCTGGCCGATGCTCCAACCACTGAGCCACACTGGCCAGGGCAGAATCCACTTTTAGAGAGAGTCTGAGGGAGAAGATGCTTCTCATCTAAAATGGCCACTGTTTTTAGCTACCAGTTTTGTAGGGGAAATAGTGATAAATAAAAATAGAAATAATTAAATCTTAGCTTCAGCTCAGCCTTTGCTCACATATTTGTGGCAAACTACTCTAACATTAAAAACGTTTCTTTATCGTGGTTACACATGGAGAGGTGTGTTGTCCTATGTATTAGAAACAGAAAGGAACATCAATCGGCATTTCAAGTCAAAGCTTTTCTTGTGTGCAAGGCATTGTGNAGTGGAAGAGAGGGAGGGGAAGAGAGAGAGATGATGTGAGAGACACACTGATTGGTTGCCTCNTGGAAGAGAGGGAGGGGAAGAGAGAGAGAGACGATGTGAGAGACACACTGATTGGTTGCCTCCCTTTTGCATCCCAACCTGGACCGGGGATTGAACCTGCAAGCCAGGTACATGCCCTTGACCAGGAACTGAACCTCTGACTCTTCAGTGCTCTGGCCGATGCTCCAACCACTGAGCCACACTGGCCAGGGCNCCCATATGCATCCCAAACTGGGCCGGGGATTGAACCTGCAACCCAGGTACATGCCCTTGACCAGGAATTGAACCCTTGACCCTTCAGTGCTCTGGCCGATGCTCCAACCACTGAGCCACACTGGCCAGGGCAGAATCCACTTTTAGAGAGAGTCTGAGGGAGAAGATGCTTCTCATCTAAAATGGCCACTGTTTTTAGCTACCAGTTTTGTAGGGGAAATAGTGATAAATAAAAATAGAAATAATTAAATCTTAGCTTCAGCTCAGCCTTTGCTCACATATTTGTGGCAAACTACTCTAACATTAAAAACGTTTCTTTATCGTGGTTACACATGGAGAGGTGTGTTGTCCTATGTATTAGAAACAGAAAGGAACATCAATCGGCATTTCAAGTCAAAGCTTTTCTTGTGTGCAAGGCATTGTGAGAAAATAACCTGGGACTCATCACATCTGATGCAGTTAGAATTTGGAATGCTCAGTGCCGTCTTCTCCAACAGCCTTTGGGTCTGAAAATTTCACCACTGGCAGATAAGGCATTCCAGAAGGTTCTTACTTAAATAGTGATCTGTTACCCTGCTGAGCCTCTGACACTAGCTCTAGGGAAAGAATCCTAGGGGACCCCAATGTGGGATAAA